TTGAGATGCTTCAGAATGCTTCAGAATCCATTAGAGATGCATTGTTCCTGCAGTTGACTTTAGTTTGACCTGCATTTGACCTGCTTCAAAACGTTTTTGTATTCCCATTGATCTGTATGTAGATAAAGTAAGTTATGATGTGAATAAAAGCCTATTGACCCTGGCCTTTGTTCTACAAACAAAATGAGACACATTTCCATATATTTTAAAACTAGATATAACAAATATCCCCCAAAATAAATAGGAATTTTTAAATTTATGGGCAAATTTATATATAAGATACAAACATTGAGAAATTTCTTTTTTAGGGTTTATAATGGTTAGTCAGGCCTCCTACAGTTCATTATGACTTGTAGACAATTACTCTATAGTGTGTAGTATATTTACTACATATGGTTAATTGAAATTTTATTTATTTATTTTATTTTACAGCGCTCTCTTAAACACAATGCAATCACAGTGCATCAAAGTCTAGGTACATGACAAATTCCAGTGACATATCCCTTATATCTTCAGGATGTCCAATACACTCTGCCATTCAACTTTCAGAAAGACATATTGGATCTAATTGCCTGCTGTTATCACCAGACAAAAGGTTTCCAATACACCATAATGGGGGGAGCATGCTTGCAGAGGTTGATGCAAGATGTTTTCATCATAACAAGGCCCAAGAAGCTAACTTAACTGCAGATGGATCAAAGAATCCCTGGTTCAAGCTGCAACCAAGATGGATCTGATGCAGCAGAGCAGCACAGCTTCCCTCATCTCTTTCCCTCATCTCTATGGGGTAGATGAAACTGAGAGCAGGACAAGCTTGCCTTTGCCCACATGAGACTCCTCAAGACAGGATGAACTGCTGTGTAACATTGACCAAATACTTAACAAAGTGCGACAAGCAACATCCAGGATAATTACTGATAACCTGAGAGATCTGTGAGCTGGGCCATCAAACAGTGACCCTAAAATCAAGGATAGATGTGGCTTCAATGACTCTTGAAATCCATGATAGGGAGTACGAAGCCCTTAGAGATGACAACCAGCATGCCCATGCCAAACATGAAGATTTGGAAAACAGGTTCCACTGGAGCAATCTCCATGTATGAGGGATCCCAGAATTTATTAATGGCTCTTTGACAGCCTACCTCATGAACTTGTATCTTCTATACATGTGAACCACTTATAATTTGAGTGCATACATTGAACCCTAACCCAGCGTACTCAAAATGGCCCACCAAGGGCTGTAAGTTCTTATCTTAATGCACAAAAAAAAAAATCTTACAAAAAGCTCAAAATAAAGATGTTCAAGGACATGAATGCCACATTTTTGCTGACATTGCACCATCAACAACTACCAGATGACAAGTTATGAAACCAGTCAAAACCAGACTTCATAAAACATTTTCCACTGAAAAGTTAACAGCTAAACACACTGACTCAATATCAAAATTTTGAAAACCTGGGATCCATAGATCTTACATTTCCTACCAAACAACTTTGATTAAAGCTTGATAAACCTAGAAATGTTACCACTTCTTTGTTGTTGGAACCTGAAATTTCACATTGTAGCTAATTTTTGCATAATAGCATATGGTATATGACTTTATATAGTGAAGCACATTTTCTTCTGGTTTTAAATCTTTTTAGTTAACAAATTGTAGTCCATTTCAAATCAAACCAGCCTCTCAACTGCCTAGGCATTAATATATCCTTGCATATCTTTTTTTATTAGTATTGCTTTACAAAAATGCACAAAATTATAGATCACATTTTTATGCATTGCAAAATGACCAACTTTCCACTGTTCTTGTAACCTAAACCTTAAAAAAACACCTTTAAGTAAACAACTGTCTATGCAAAGTAAAGGCTTTAGGTGAATGTGTAGTTAATGTTACATTTTCCAGGTTAATAAACAGGATACATAGCTGTTTGATCCCAGAAAATGTACAAATGAATGTCAGTATTTTTGTGTTTACCTTATATATACATATATACATGCACATACACAGACACACACGTCACACATACTCGGAGAGAGACTGAGAGAGAGAGAGAATGGCAGTTTTGTTGAAAAATGGCAATCCAAAAGTGGCAGTTTTGCACTGAGTGTGTATTTGCACTACTGAAAACTTTCCTAAATATGATAAAGATGGAACCAGGGGCGGACTGACCATTTGGAAACTCGGGCACTGCCCGAGGGCCCGGGGTCAGTAGGGGGCCCCATGAGATGCCCTTGGTACCTTTTTCATAGGCTTTTTTGAGTTTGGGCAAGGGACACAGGGGCCCCATGATTCCCTATTGCCCGGGGGCCCCATGAGTTGTCAGTCCGCCCCTGGATGGAACTGTTCTCTTTAGTGGGAGCTAGTTTGATCACAAAGAATCTGCTAAACCTTGAAGATATTGCACAATGATATTCTGCAAAAAAAGTGAGACTGTGTTGGCATCCTTGTAGATACAAGCTATTGGTTTGTGGAGTTGTACAGAAGGTCTCATGAGAGATAACCTGATGATAAACAATATTCATTTATCTTTCTATTTTTCTGTAGAAACTGTCCCTTTAAAAACTTCTGTCCATTGAAAAGAATGTGCTGCCTATTCTTAATTTAAGTACAGATGCTAGCAGTGTCAGAGAATCAGTTTCTACTGCATTACATACTACTGTCCATTAACAGTTATAGCAGGGGAAAGCACAGGCATGACTTCATCATAGTCCTACTATTACCTCGCTATGGGCCTGGCCGACCAGTCTATTTTACTCAGCTGTACTACCACCTGCAAGGAGGGTTGTGCAGGATCTAGTTGTAGTTTCTAGCCAGGATGCCTGGATACCAATTACAAATCCTTTTGCAGGTAAAACAGGAGTTCTGTTTTAAAAAGAGGATTTTCCTCTTCTCAGTTTAAAGAAATACCGAAACTGTACTCTAAAAAGAATATACAGTGTTACAAAACAATACCACTAATTTCTTCAGAAAAAAATCATCACAGAAAAATAATATGTAATGTATTAAGTAGAAAAAGGAATATAAAAGAATATATAAAACATAATTACTATAATATGAAGCGGAAATTACTGTGAAACAATAGAAGTTATGGAAGAAAAAAATAGGAAAACACTGCTCATTTGTATATCTGTGTATTTCAAAGCCTATTTAAGGGTTTTTCTATGCAAAGGGCGCACATTTTGTTTATATCATTAGCTTGTATTTATGCAATGAATAGGACAAAAGATATAATTCAACATAAATAAAGCAGTTAACTAAAAATATGCATTATATAGCTATAGAAATGTGGGAATTCTATAGTATATATATATGAAGTTGGAAGGAATGACATGTTTATCACATATAATTTACTTCCCTAGACTTGATCGAGTTGTAAAATATGTGGAAACAAGGGGAAAAAAAGACCTATAGTCCGATCCTTTTTAAATTTAAGAATATTAAAATATAAAAATGCAAACTCTGTGCTATCCTACTCACCAGTGGAGGGCAGTGGGCTTAATTGTTTGGTTGGTGCATTCAAGTGTTTAAATATCCTTAACCCCTTCGAGCCTAAGGGTACAAAAAATTTTACTGCCTAAGCACAATTTTGCAACTTTGACATGTGTTAGCAAAACCATACATATCATCACAACTACTTTGTGCATCCAGGTGGATTATATCTTGTTTTTTTTCAGGACAAATTGGGCTTTCATTTGGTGTTAAATGGTAATGGATATCTCCTAAGTTTTTTTTTTTTAACCAAAAGAAAACTGGCCCAAATGAAACCATTTTTTTAAATTTAGCTGTATATTTCTTGCTACTACCATAATACCTACCGCCAAAGAACAACCCAAATAATTTCTCCTGACGATCGTAGTGATACCACATGTGTGTATGTTTTGTTGTTTGTACCCGTAGTTCAGCCCAGAAACAATAATGCGTAATTTGCTTTTTTTTCAAATTAAAAAAAAAACCCTGACCAAAAAAAACAAAAACAAAAAACAAACCTGACCCTGATCCTTGACCTTGACCTTGACCCTGACCTTGACCTTTGACTCTGACCTTGACCCAAACACTAACCCTGACACAGACCTAAATAAAACGTTGATCTAGGTATTTTTGTTTATTTTTTATTAATATTATTTTTATTTTTTTGCACACACTTTTTTTTTCTGTCTGAAAAGACAGAGATACAATGTATCTCTCTTCTCCATTCAGAGAGAGAAAAACAAGGGGGATGGGCTTCACAGTGACCGAGGCTATCACAGCAATCATGCAACCCGGGATCGGGAGTTCCGGGTTCCGATCATTAGAACAGGACCAGGGGCTCTCAGTTACACCCCAGTCTTTGTGCTGGGAGTGCGCTGTTTGGCGCTCTCCCAGCAGAAATACAGGTACGCAAATTAGCAGCCCCACGGAAAAAAGCCCAGTTCTGTGAGGCCGCGAATTTGTGTGCAGTAGACCTCAAGGGGTCAACAAGCAGCCCTGCAGCCTTATAGTCTCTAATGCACATGTGCCAAACACAAGGCCTGTGAGCTGAATCCCACCACCAGGCCATTTCATGTGGCCCTTGCACCTCTCCTGCAGCTGCGGCACCCTCCACTATGTCGGCAGCAATGAGGAGGACAGAACACTTGCTACAGAGCCTGCTCCTCTCTGCACAGCCACAGCACTCCCTCATCTGCATTCAACAGGCTCCAGTAGCTGACTCCAGCCCTCCTCTGGTCCTTCTCCAGACCCTACACTTTCTGCTTCCCAGTTCCGCACCCAGATTCTTCCCATCAGCGCAGCAAAAGGGTTGCAATGTAATGTAACAGAGGGTGGGGGACTCTTGACTTCTGATAGTGAGGGGGCTCTTGACATCTGGTGTAAGGAAGGGTTGCTGTCACGTACTTGGTTGGGGAGCCTGACGTGTAGAGGAGGCATCCTCTTACTACTCCCCGCTCGGAGCCCCTGATAGTGGGGACAGAGGGCGCCGAGCCAGGAGTGGCACTAGTGCCGGGTGGGTCTTGAGATGACGCTAGGCAGGTGATGACCCAGAATGATCCAGATGTAGGCCAGGTGCGGATGCAGGAACATGGGTGCAGCAGCAGGTAGGTATGGCGGCAACCAGGATGCAGACCAGGTGCAGATGCAGGAGCATAGGTGAGGCAGCAGGTAGGTATGGCGGTAACCATGGTGCAGACCAGGTGCGGATGCAGAAACGTAGGTGCAGCGGTGTCAAACAAGCTGGGTCAGGATCAATCGGGCATATCAGGTACAAGGGAGCAGGTATGCGGATAGTCAGGGATAAGCCAGGTCAGTGCAGGCGGAGTTCTTTCTTAGTCAGGGTCAGATCAGATACAGGCAACAGAATCTGGTTATCAAGTACAGGACGTTATAGACCAGAAGGCATAGGCTAAACTGTGTTGGTGATTCAAATAGCCTGCCTTGCGGTGACGTGTACGATACTGCGCATGCGTGTAACCACATGCTCCCACACATGCGCACTCGCACACCACCATGGCTGACAGGGATCTGGTGCCAGCACATAGATGCGCGTTGGCGCGGGGAGCGATCCCTGACAGGTGCACTGTACATCTAGTCTTACAGATACAACTGTCCTTTTGAAGATAACTATAATTCTAATGCAGCCCACAATGAAATTTAGTTTGACACCCCTGATATAATATAAACTCAGAACGGGTTCACCAGGGGTGGGGGCATGGGGTAGGGTGAGTTTGCTAGTAGAACAATGTTGCCAACTTCAGTGCTTTTGCAATGAATTTTAAAGTGTTATTCAATCCTTAAACATTCTTCACATTTTGTTAACCTCAATTACTTGTATGGACATATATGTAGTCATTTTCTTCCCAGGTCTCTCCAGGCTTCAGAAAAATTAACTTAAAATATTTCCTACTACACAGCCTATGGGAGAAGGGGGCTTCTGCGCTGTCCTGGGAGCCACTTGTATGAAAAGCTGCTTACTTCTGCACAGCTAAAAGTTGCTGGGGATGCTAAATCTCACAGCTCATTGACTCATTCCTGTCCAGCCCATGTCTGTGCATGCACAGTTAAAGGGATGCTTGGGATGCTTACTTTCCAAGCCCTTTTTCTATGCCCCTAACCCAGCCCCTTTCTCTACCTTGGGTGGAAGCTGTGAAAGCAGTCCCTGCATGTGTCCTGTACTGTGGACTGGGCTGTACATCACAAAGCATTTAAGGAGTTGGAGTTCCATCCAGTGCACATGTGACTGCTTCCAGAAGTGTACAAGTACATAAAGTGATTATGGGAGATACAGGTGCAATGTCCTTTTTCTTGTACCCGAAATTCAAGGAGCATCAGCAGAACAAGTCTGGATAGGGGAATGGGCACCCAAACTGACTACAGAAGATATAGGCATGCTGTGCGTCAGCATGGCATCCTGTATCTCTGCTGGCTATACAGTATTTATTAGGAACTATACTAAGAAGCCAACCTGTGTAAGGAATCTTACCTACCTCTTTGGGTAACATACACTTTAATTAAGGATCATTCATTCAGCCTTTCTTCCTCAATTACCCAAATTGTTACAGATTCTTTTAATTTCATAATTAATTTGCTGAACAGAGTATATAGTACTAAAAATACAGCTGTCAGAAGCATTTATCATTGCAGAACCAGCATTTAAGATCTCCTGGTGCTTGCTGGCAGGGTAGGGAATGGGTAGCTGAGCTCACTGCACATGGAAACCATCATTTTGACAGAATACATCATCCGGAATTAAACAACAGCGTAGAATAAAAGTTACAAAAAAAAACAAAACAAAAAAAACAAAACAAATGCCATTGTGTTGCATTAACTGTATCCTTAACAGTGGGCTTTTCTATAAGACAGCAAAATTATGTCATTTTAATGTGTAACTAGAATGGTAGTAATTTTCTCTGTTTTTCAATAAACAGTAGAGGAATGTACATTATTTGCACACAATTACAAGTGGATTTTAATTTATTGATAATGTGTCTGTCTCAAATCACAGTGACATATGGTCAAATACTCTTGGTGTATTCCCTGAACTTAATGCAATAAAAGAGAGCTGGCACAGCTACAGTAAAAAGCATGGCATACTACTAAGCTCTGAAATGTTCTCTGGCATAACATCTGCCTCAGACAATGCATGTGACAGCTGCCAGAACTTTATAATTCACACAGTACAAAACCTCCTCTCAGCCTGCATAGAGCTGAACAAGTAAGGGAAAAGAAGCTTAACTACTATAAAACCAGCAAACTTTGCACATGGATATCTTCACATAACTAACACAATGCAAAAAATGTCTTATAACAATGTATTTATTGTATGCCACAACTGCTTTGATCTTGCTAAGGATAAGTGAATGAAACATAAGAAAAAATTATCAGAGGATTGTTGCTTACCACTTGCCGACTGGTGATAGCCAAATGACGGCTTCACCCTGGCTGGCCAGTTCTAGGAGGGCGTCATATGATGTCCTCCCGTGATCGCGCTTCTAGCGCGCCTACAGCGGTGCCAGGGGCGGACTGACAACTCATGGGTCCCCCGGGCAATAGGGGATCATGGGGCCCCTGTGTCCTTGCCCAAACTCAAAAAAGCCTATGAAAAAAGGTACCAGGGGCATCTCATGGTGCCCCCTACTGACCCCGGGCCCTCGGGCAGTGCCCGAGTTTCCAAATGGTCAGCCTGCCCCTGGGCGGTGCGCATCAGGAACTTTAAGTGATGACTGTGTCCCTCAGACACAGCACATCATGCAGAGGGGGGTGAATGGCCCATTACAGCGGCCGTTTACATTTGTGATTGCTCCTCATTGGACAGAGTGATCACAAATGTAAACACAGCAGGGTCATGGCTGTGTTATCTCTCTCCTTTCCTCACACCAATACCGAGTGTGAGGAAAGGAAAGAGAATCGGTTCCTAAACAGTGAGTATGCTCATCAGTGCCCATCACTGCCCATCTGTGCTCATCAGTGCCACCAGTGAGTGCATATCAGTGCCTGTCAGTGCTCATCAGTGCCCGTCAGTGCCCATCTGTGCTCATTGGTGCCCACCAGTGCCCATCTGTGCTTATCAGTGCCCACCAGTGAGTGCCCATCTGTGCTCATCAGTGCCCACCAGTGAGTGAATATCAGTGCCCAACAGTGCTCATCGGTGCCCGTCAGTGCCCATCTGTTCTTATTGGTGCCTGCCAGTGCCCATCTGTGCTCATTAGTGCCCACCAGTGAGTGCCCATCTGTGCATATCAGTGCTCATAGGTGCCCTTCTGTGCATTTCAGTGCTCAACAGTGCCCATCTATGCATATCAGTGCTCATTGGTGCCCATCTGTGCATATCAGTGCCAATCTGCGTACATCAGTGCTCATCGGTGCCCATCTGTGTACATCAGTGCTCATTGGTACCCACCTGTGCATATCAGTGCTCCTCAGTGCCCACCTGTGCATATCGGTGCTCATCAATGCCCATCTGTGCACAGCAGTGCCCATGAGCAAGGGTTCATCAGTGTCCATTAGTGAGGGCTCATCAGTGTCCACCAGTGCTGCCCTATCACTGCAGATTGTCAGTGCCCATCAGTGCTGGTTCATCACTGCAACTTATCGGTGCACATCATTGCTCATCAATTACCACCAGTGCTACCTTATTACTGCAGCTTATCAGTGTACATCAGTGCCACTTATTCAGACACATAAATGCCACCCTATCAGTGGATCCTCATCATCACCCATCAGTGGACATTAGTGGCAGTTTATCAGTGCAGCCTCAGTGCAGTGCATTATTGCACATCAGGGCTACCTCATCAGTGCCCATTAGTGCAGCCTCTTCACTTCACATCAGTACCCATCAGTGCACCCTCATCAGCACCCATCAATGCACCCCCATCAGCACACCCTCATCAGCACCCAGCAATGCACCCCCATCAGTACCCACAAGTGCAGCCTCATCAGCACATATCAGTGCACACTCATCAGCACCCATCAGTGCTTCCCCATCAGTGCACTCTTGTCAGCACTCAGAAGTGCACCCCCATCAACACCCACAAGTGCAGCCTCATCAGCACCCAGCAGCAGCCTCATCAGCACCCAGAAGTGCAGCCTCAACAACATCCAGCAGTGCAGCCTCACCTGGGTCTGCTACAGTATGTCTATAAAAATATTTTCCTGTGAAGAGGCCTACCAAATCTTAACCATGACCGACGAGAGCAGCTGGGAGCTCTCAGAGTCTGATTCTGATTTGGATTACGAGCCCGTTTTAAGCAGTGGGTCTGCTACAGAATCGGAGGAGGAGGCAAGAGTGCCCACCAAATGAAGGTGTTCTGGTGAGGAGCAGGCTACCACAAGCAGTGCCGTGGCATCCACTAGTAGAGCAGTGGCTTCCACCAGAAATGGAGAACCTCAAGAAAGACCAGGTACTAGTGTAGTGTCACCTCAGCCCCAAAGGGTTCCATATGCTCTTCCATATGCCCTTCAAAACTCCCTGTGGCTTTCCCCTAACTCTAAAGCAGCTAACATTCCCCTTTTACTGCCCAGCAAGGAATGCAGGTGAATTTAGAAAATGTTGCCCCCGTTGATTTTTTTAATTTAATTTTTACCAATGACTTGCTAAATTCAATTGTGGACCACTGCAACCTCAATGCCCAACAATTCATAGCCACCATCCCAGATTCAAGTTATGCCCATCCTTATGAATGAAAGCAGTTAACAGTGGAGTAATTTAGAACCTTTTTGGGTCTCACATTTAATATGGGACTCACAAAAAAAAAATCAATTACACTCCTACTGGTCTACCCACCCAATCCATCACATGCCAATTTACTCATCAGTCATGCCTATAACAAGATATCTAATGATCATGCGGTTCCTCCATTATAACGATAACACCCAGTGCCTTCCCCAAAATGACCCAGCATATGATAAATTGTATAAAATTCGGCCACTCCATAATTTTTTCTCTGATAAATTTGCCAAGTTATTTGTCCCGGACAAAAATATCTACATGGATGAGTCGCTTGTCCTCTTCACTGGCAGGCTGAGCTTCAAGCAATTTATCCCCAGTAAAAGGGCCCGATATAGGGTTAAACTCTATAAATTATGCCACAGAGCCACAGGGTATGTGTACACCTTCCCCATGTACGAAGGAAAGGACACCCAACTGCATCCCCCTGAATGCCCAGATTACATTGGAGCAAGAGGAAAAAACATTTTGGAGCTTGTATTTCGACTCCTTGAAAAGGGTTATCATCTATATGTTGATAATTTTTACACCAGCTTGCCTTTTTCTGTAATCTTCACCGAAGGAGAACACTAGCATGTGGCACAGTGAGAGCTAGTAGGAAGGGATTCCCACAAAGGCTGGTGAACACAAGACTACAGCGAGGGGACTTGGTGAGTTTGC